TACACCTTAATATATATATTTTCATTATTTATTTTTTTAGATCAGTTACTAAATTAATTCCAAATTTGGTAGCAAAATATTCAAATGTGTAACGGCTAAGTTGGGACTTAAAGTTGATTGGCACATTCAGAGTTGTAACCGCTATATTTAGTTGCATTGTTGGAAGAAAAATATGATTGACACATTGTAGACATCAAAATTTTAATATTTATTTAATTATTAATGTCTTTATTTATTTTGGAACATAAATTCAAGATAAATAAGATATTTAATTAATAAAGTTATTATTTCTTGTCCACCAAGTCAAATCTTAGGATAAGGAAATATATTATATCAAATCATAAAGGACAAATCAAATTGATGTCTTCTTCTCCAAGACTTTCTCTCCTACACCTCATAAATCAACACCTCTTGAATCAAAGTCTCAAAAATTCTTGAAGATTTGAAGACGTTCTCGAAGATCCATGACATTCAAGAGATCAGCGTTGAAGAATCAAGACTCCTAGCTTCCGAAGTCCGTTCAATGAAGAAGAATGGCAAGAAGAAGAAAAAGAGGCGACGGCTCTTCCCCAAGAAGTAAAGAGACAACTTCTACTTCTCTCAAATCAATCCAAGAATATCAACGACATTCAAGAAACATTCAAGCTGCGTTCGTCGAGAAGTTCAAGCAACGTAGCGTTTGATTTGGGAAAAAGCTCTCAAGACCTCGAGTCAACGTTATTCAAGCTCAAATCCATATTCGAAGATCCAAATCGAAATCCATAAAGAGAAGAATCAGAGGAGATATATTGAGATTGTACCCGCAATATCATTTGATTGAAATATAATCAAGTTGTACAAAAAGTTTTATGTTTTTCATAAAATTTGTTGTTACAAATTTGGCACGCCCGGTGGAACTTTCTCTACCTCTCATCTCTTCTCTGCAAATCAAGTTCGAAGATCTTTGAAGATGTATGAAGACCTCTTTGAAGAAAATGTACATGGGGCACTGAAGATGATGTCTTCCCAAGCCATGAAGCATGGGGGCAATTCACATGAAGAGCTCCATCAAATATTCAAATGCTCCTTGATATGAGCCTAAACTATCTACATATTCAAATGCTCCTTGATATGAGCCTAAACTATCTACAAAGCTCCTCGATATGAGCTAAAACTATCCAAACTTCAAGTTCAAATGTTTCTCGATATGAGCTGAAACTATCTAACATATTCAAATGCTCCTTGATATGAACTTAAACTATCTACATATTCAAATGCTCCTTGATATGAGCCTAAACTATCTATAAAGCTCCTCGATATGAGCTAAAACTATCAAAACTTCAAGTTCAAATGCTCCTTGATATGAGCTGAAACTATCTAATGCTCCTTGATATGAGCCTAAACTATCTACATATTCAAATGCTCCTTGATATGAGCCTAAACTATCTATAAAGCTCCTCTATATGAGCCAAAACTATCCAAACTTCAAGTTCAAATGCTCCTTGATATGAGCTGAAACTATCTACATATTCAAATGCTCCTTGATATGAGCCTAAACTATCTACATATTCAAATGCTCCTTGATATGAGCCTAAACTATCTACATATACAATGCTCCTTGATACGAGCCTAAACTATCTACATATTCGATGCTCCTTGATGTGAGCCTTAACTATCTATATATTCAGATGCTCCTTGATACGAGTGTAAACTATCTACATATTCAAATTCTCCTTGATATGAGCCTAAACTACCTACATATGCTCCTTGATATGAGCCTAAACTATCTATATGACTCATTGACATGAGCATAAAATATCTACATATCAAGATCTCCTTGACACGAGAATAAAAGGTCTACATATCAAACTTGAATATCTCCTTGACACGAGAATAAAAGGACTACAAGTCAAATATGAAGCTCCTTGACACGAGCATAAAATGTCTACATATCAAGATCTCCTTGACACGAGAATAAAAGGTATACATATCATGAACTCCTTGATACGAGTATAAACTATCTAGAAATCAAGTCAAATGAAGAAATCCTTGATACGAGTTTAAACTATCTACCAAGACAAATCAAGAACTCCTTGGTACGAGTATAAATTATCTGTCAAATCAAATTAAGACTCCTTGATACGGGTTTAAACGATATACAAATCAAGTCAAATGAAAAACTCTCTGATATGAGTTTAAACTATCTACAAAATCAAGTCGAAAAAACTCCTAGATAAGAGTTTAAACTATTTGCATGTCCAAACCAAATTCTAAATTTTGAGACTCATTCACTACCAAGACATTTTGTCCGTGAACAAGTCTCAAGGGGGCATTTGTAGACATCGAAATTTTTTAATATTTATTTAATTAATGTCTTTATTTATTTTGGAACATAAATTCAAGATAAATAAGATATTTAATTAATAAAGTTATTATTTCTTGTCCACCAAGTCAAATTTTAGGATAAGGAAATAGATTATATCAAATCATAAAGGACAAATCAAATTGATATCTTCTTCTCCAAGACTCTCTCTCCTACACCTCATAAATCAACACCTCTAGAATCAAAGTCTCAAAAACTCTTGAAGATTTGAAGACGTTCTCGAAGATCCAAGACATTCAAGAGATCGGCGTTGAAGAATCAAGACTCCTAGCTTCCGAAGTCCGTTCAATGAAGAAAAAGGGCAAGAAGAAGAAAAGGAGGCGACGGCTCTTCCCCAAGAAGTAAAGAGACGACTTCTACTTCTCTCAAATCAATCCAAGAATATCAACGACGTTCAAGAAACATTCAAGTCGCGTTCGTCGAGAAGTTCAAGCAACGTAGCGTTTGATTCGGGAAAAAGCTCTGAAGCCCTCGAGTCAATGTATTCAAGCTCAAATCCATATTCGAAGATCCAAATCGAAATCCATAAAGAAAAGAATCAGAGGAGATATATAGAGATTGTACCCGCAATATCATTTGATTGAAATATAATCAAGTTGTACAAAAAAAGTTTTATGTTTTTAATAAAATTTGTTGTTACACACATTTTTTTTTTTTGAAAATCAGAAACACCAATAATCTTTTTATTTATGTTAATTTTCTTAATATGTACCACAAATATATAAATTATTTTATTCATGTTACTAATGTAAACGTTGCATGGTTAAATAAAATTTAAGTCTCAATTAATTTTGAATAATAACTTAAGAAAAAGTAATAAATTTTATATGATAGAAGTACATGTCTAATTAATAAATACAAACAAAAATAGTTTTTTTTTTGTTTTTTTTTTTTTTATGTGTAAATGTATAGAATCAAATAGTAGTACATATTATTATAAGTATTATAAGTATTGGTCTTTATATCTGCCCACCTTTTTAGACTCAACAAGATGCACGATATCAATTTTAGGATTAACTCTACAATTAATCAAATATTAATGTGTTACGTTCAATATTACAATCTGACTTGGACTAATGTCCCTATCCCCCAGCCAATTATTTTGTTAAATTATTAAGGCAAAATTAAAATTGGATGCCTCAAAGGCCAAATTGATAGTTGTACCTTATCAATTATTAGATAATCCAATTCGATGGCGGCGCGACACATCGTTTGTAATGTTTTATCTCCTTTTATTTCTTTTTCTTTGTTACTAGATTTATGGCACAAAAGAAACTTCACCGGGAATTCCTGATCATTTGTCACTCAATTTGCTGAACACAAGATGAAAAATACAAATATGTCAAATTGTTCGATAAAGCTAGATCCAATTAGTTGTTTAAGGGAAGAGATTGTAACAATAAATTTTATGAATAACTTAAAACTTTGGTACAACTTGATGTTATTTCGATCAGAACGTTATCGTAGGTACAATCTCTGTATGTCTCCACTAATTCTTCTTTTATAGGATTTGGGTTGGGGTCTTCGAAACTGGATTTGATGGTTGGATCTTCTTCATGTTTGAAATTGAATTTTTTCTAACATTAATTTGGGGATCGAATGACTTATTCTCGTATTAAACGTTAGGACTTGATTTGATGGAAGACGACTTATTGACGGTCTTTCTTCTTTGATCCTTCTTGGAGAGAGACTTGGACTTGAACGTCGATTTTATCTTTGACCCTTCATGTAGAAAGACTTGGACTTGAACGCCGATCTTCAATCCTAATGTCTTGGATCTTCAAGAACGTATCCTTCGTGTGGCTTTAAGGAACTTTATTTATATGTGTAGGAGAAAGAGTTTTAGAGAAGAATAAATCAGTTTGATTGTTCCTTCATTATTTGATATAATCTATTTCGTTACCCTAAGATTTTTTCTTATCGTAAGATTTGACTTGATGGACAAGAAATATTATTTTATTAATTAATATTTTATTTATCTTTTGGATTAATATAAGAAACTAAATAAACAGATTAATTAATAAAATATTAAGATCGATGTCTACGAACGCCGTCGGGGAGAGCGTATCGCATACGAGGACGATTGAGTTTGCGTAAGGCGGGAACGACTTCAATGCGGCGGGGAGTGAAAGGACGACGACGGCGAGACTGGAGGCGACGATGGTCGCGACAAATAAGAACTATGGGGTGGCGCCGCGGAACCAGATTTTATGACCACGATGTATTTTTATTTATTTACACTAAAACCCACCAATGTATAGGTTGATATGGGGTGATGAATTATGGGCACAAACATAACAAAATTATACGGTCCCAACATAGTACATCTTTTTTGAAAGAGTCAGCATGCCAAATAACAATGTTATGTTGTGGAGGTAATGTTAAATTTGGTTTTTGCTTCAAAGTGAAAATAAACGGTAATAGTAGTTCAACAATCACCCACCTTGTCTATCTCCATTTCACACAATATTCACTGTAGTTTTGAAGAAGTTCAATAATACACTGATTATGACATCCATCAGATGGATTCCATCAGTTACTCAGCTATAAATACCCTGATTCATTGGTTGAATCCATAACTCATTATCTGTAACAAGCCATAAAACAGGCTTAAGTATCAAATTCTTACGTGACCAAAATGTCGACCACAATATCGGTGCTCTTACTTATCGCTCTCTTCGCTGTCGTGTCCTTGCCAGCAAACGCGTACGATTCCGAACCTTTACAGGATTTCTGTGTTGGTGTCAACGACTCAGAGGCTAGCGGTAATTGTTTTTTCCACAAGTTATCAATTCTTCAACTTTTATCACTTGACAAAATAGCAAAATCAAACCACTGTACTTTAGTAACAGCCTTGCTATTGTTGGGACAGTATTCGTGAACGGGAAGATATGCAAGGACCCGAACACGGTGACCTCGGATGACTTCTACTTCTCGGGCCTCAACAAGGCTGGCAACATAACGAGCCCGTTCGGGACCAAGGTCACGATCGTATTCGTGAACCAACTCCCAGGCCTCAACACGCTTGGCATCTCTATGGTCCGGATCGACTTTGCCCCAGCCGGTGCAAACCCTCCTCATGTGCACCCGCACGCCTCTGAGATTCTGCTCGTCTTGGAGGGCACGCTCTATGCGGGCTTCATATCATCGAACCCAACAAATCCAAATGACGAGAACAGGCTTTACACCAAGATTCTTCATCCTGGGGACGTTTTCTTGTTCCCAAAGGGCCTTATTCATTTCCAGTACAACCTCGGGAGCAAGAATGCTGTTGCGATTGCGGCGTTGAGCAGCCAGAACCCGGGAGTTGTGACTTTGTCCAAGGCCGTGTTTGGGTCTGAGCCCTCTGTTCTGCCCGACCTTCTCACGAGATCGTTTCAGCTCGACAGTAAGACGATCAACCGTCTCCTTTCATTGGAGTGGATCGGGAATGCCTAATCAAGATTGTGTATCGTTCGAGGGTTGATAAGATTTGTGGTCTTTTTTTTTCATTTAGACTTGTCTGAAGCAATGTTTACTTGTACCTGTGAACCTCAAATCTTCGTAATAAATCGCAGATACCGATTTGCGACGTGCTACTTTTGTTTGACGGAGCTAGAGTTCCATTGAACATTTTAGTTGCACATTTCATTTTCACGTGAGTTTATGAATAGCAAATGTTTAACTATGAGCTTTATGTGTGTTTTTGTGTCAGCAAATAGACTTTGCCACTACTCTTCTTCACTCGCTTCACTTACAATACAGGCGCCTGCTAGTTTGTCCAATGTGGGATTCCGCAATGCTAATGATCATTTC